GACAGCAGAGTATGAGGGGGCGTGCAACTGTTCATCCCTTCACAAACGCTTGCTTGACCATCTGTGTGCCTTCCAAGAGGCTGTTTATCGCCACACGTGTGGCTTTAATTTCCCAATAAGCCGAAGTGTGAACAGGTTTCCACCAATCTGCACGAAACTTTGTGTTTTGTTTCCATTTTATTTAGTCATTTATGTGTTTAGATTTAAAACACTATTTCTAAGTCTACCAAAATTAACTCAGGTCCTCTGGACAAATTCAAAATAAAAATTAAAAATTGTTGAAACTTTTCGTCTTTTATCCGAAAGACTTCGTCAGTCTGAGGCGCTGCAACAAACTCAGTCTTAGAAATAGCACCTTCTCATAGTGGATCGACCAGTTTGTTGTTGACATCCAAAACTAGCTGTTCACATGATAAAGGAGGACCATTAGCTTAGCAAATGGTCGTTAGTTTGATCCCCAATCATTGTCCATCGCGTGGTGTCTCTGAGCACTACACCTTATCCCCAAAATGCTCCACGGGCACTCCCAATAGCTGCCCACTGCACCACCTGGTGGCGGATGGGTTAAATGCTTAGATCCAATTTTGCCATTGTATGGAAACATACAATGATGATAATACATAACACATTATTATTAGTAGTAGTAGTATTAGTGTTCGGATGTCCGCTTGCTATTCACAGAGGGCTGAGTGAAACTAGCAATAACAGCATTGTAAGAGGGGGACAGTGAGGCCTCCGCCCCTGTTAAACCCTTTCCTACCCTTTCCGTGTCCAACTGTCCCCCTCTTACACTGCTGTTATTGCTAGTTTCACTCAGCCCTCTGTGAATAGCAAGTGGACATCGGGGCACTAACGACCAAATGTTAGGCTAATGGTCCTCCTTGATCATATGAACAGCAAGTTTTGAATGTCAACAGCAAACTGGTTGATCCACTATGAGAAGTTGCTATTTATAAGATTAATTACAGCGCCTCAGACTGACGAAGTCTTTTGGATAAAAAACTAAATGTTTCAACAAGTTTTTTATTTTATTTATTTATTTATTTATTTTTCCATCCAGTATGACGGAGTGTTAGAGCCAAGCTACAAAAATATATATAAAAAATACATTGCCGCACTAAGAAAAGAAAAATTAAAAGCCATAAAATTACGAGAATAAAGTCGTGCAAGCCTTTTTTTTTCAATTCAGATCCACAACGCGTCCTGTCATTCAATCCAGTAGGCGTGTCAGCAAATGACCAGTCCGAAGCTAAACGCTCCTATAAGTGAGTTGCTGGGTCTCTTCAGCCTCTTTCTGGCATATTTATTGACGACCTCTGACAGCGCTGCACGCACACAGTTTCACTCACTGAGCGTCGTTTTCAAACAGAAACAAAAACGAAAGTCATGACGTAATTACATCACATATATGCATCACAGAAGCAGCATACAAGAACACAACAGTAGGGGGCAGTATTGGAACACGTTTTGAGTAAGAGCGTCAATAACAATAAAGTTTAACAAACATTCTTCATTTTACCACAGTTAAAATGCGGTAAACTTTATCGTGTTGGAGTTCGGATAATGTTACGACTCATTTAGCTTCGGATTGGTCATTTGCTGACACGCCTACTGGATTGATTGACAGGTCGCGTTGTGGATCCGACTCGTGGAAAACAACAACAAAAAATTACGACAGCTGTAAAAAAAAAAAAAAAAATCGTACGACTTTATTCTCGTATTATTAAGACTTTATTCAACTTTATTCTCGTAATACTACGACTTTATTCTCATAATTTTATGGCTTTTAATTTTTTTTTTCTTAGTGTATCCCTATAGCTCAGTCGTAGTCCAGAGGACCTGACTTAACTGTTAGATTTTTCTACCTGGATTATTGAGCATGCATCAGGACACTATTTGTAATTGCAAGATTGTTCTTTTAACAGTGTTCATGTTTTGTTTTTTTGTTTTGCACATGTGTGTGGGAGGAGCGGGGCTCATTAGCAAAGTGTCTCAATAACCACTGGATGTATTTTGATAAAATTTTGACATTTATCATTGGCTGTACATCAACAACTGAATAACTTTCAGATTCAACCTCATTCAAGATGGCCACCACAGTTTAATGACTTTAGCCATCACAAAAATGGCTCTAACTCAGTCATTTTCACAGATACTCAGCCAAAATCTGGTGTGGTAGTAGCTGAGACTCATACTTAACACACTCTGACAGCTAAAATATCTTGCAAGATTGCATGTCGGACTACAAATGTTTTATCACTCAGACTTATGCAGCAACCTTAAAACTTTCAAACTTGACTTTTTTTGTGTGTTTTTCTTAGTGAATGTTGTTGCAGCTAAATCACTGCTAAAATCATCAGCTAAATCATGAGGTCATGGTCTCTCAGTGTGTAAAATCACATTATGACAAAAACAAAATATACGATTTTCAAAGTTCAATATTTTCAGTTTTAAGAGTCTGCCGCTGTCGTTCCTTAGACGTAGCTTGAACCACAAAACCAGAAAGTCTTCCCAAACATATTTAAATTGTGACTCCTCCACAGACAGAATTTGCATTTCACACTTTTTCTTCCACCCTCCCTCAAACACACTCAAAGCTTAAAGTGGAACAGGAGTTATCAGTGTTGGCCTAAAAGTGTCATATAGCATTAGAATGTCTCCTAAAACCTCAGCTTGGCTTTGTAATGAATTCATGAATGAAATTATGAGATCACTGAAGTCTTAATAATATAGAGTAGTCCTCATCCGTATAATATTTATTATTAATAAGAAAAATGCACTAAATTGTGTGTGCTAAGATGTAAAAAACTAAACATTAAAACAGTTTAATTAATCTATTTTTCATATTATTTTATTAAAAACAGCATTCCTCAAAAGGACTGCATACCGCCCACATATTTAAATTAAAATTTGTGCTTTTGGTTAAATCTTGAAACTAACATTATGTACTATTTTCTGCAGTATTGTAGAATGCTCAATAATCCAGGTTAAAAAAAAAAACAAAGTTAAATCAGGTCCTCTGGACTGTTTCTTTTTTTATTGAAATGTCTCGTCTTTCAACCAAAAGACTTCAGTAGTCCAAGGAGCCACAACAAACTGAGTCCCATAAGTAGCACCTTGACATAATGAGCCAACCAGTTTGATGGTGATAAGATGGTTTCTGGAGTCCACCCTCTCCCCGGTCGACTTGTCTGAGGCAGCCATGGCCAAAGAGGTTCAAAACATCAAAGTTCAAATCAAAGGATTATTTTATCTGGATTATTGAGCATGAACTTTGATGTTTTGAACCACCTTAGCCATGGACGCTTCAGACGAGTCGACGGGGGAGAGGGCGGACTCCAGAAACCATCTTATCACCATCAAACTGGATGGTATGTGAGTGTGCTGCTTATGGGACTGAGTTTGTTGTGGCTCCGTGGACTGATGAGGTCTTTTGGATGAAAGACAAAATATTTAAACGAATAAAAGCCAACGTCCAGAGGACCTGACTTAACTTTGTTGGCGTATTAGCGAATATTATGCAATCTGTTACTACCACTCAGAGTGTTGTGTACTACTGTCCCACCAAACTTTGGTTCAATATCTCTGTAACTGACTGAGTTAAAGCCATTTTTGTGTTTGGCATCCATCTTAAATTGGGTTAGATAAGGAATAATATGTAATTGTCCACGTTTTACCTCTTGGCAGCAGGTGACAAGAAACTTGAGATTATGATAAATTAAACTTCTTCCCTTAAATTTTAAAATAGCATTTCATACTATGCCCTATTTCTAGAGCATATATTGGTACAGTTTGTTTTCCTGTCTAACCCTGTCAGAAATATAAGCACTCTCTATTTACCATAAATTCAAATAGAATTAAAGAACATTTTCAAACAAGTTTGGTCTTGCATTGTAACAATTTCTTCTTAATGCTGTTTATTTTTCCAGGCCTATACATGGCTTCAGAAAGAGATGGGTCCCGAAACTGATCCAGTGGTCATCGTTCGGTTTATTGGCTCCAGCCAGCCCTCCACAGACCTACGAACTCTACTCCAGAGCATCTGTGAACAGATTGCAATAAACTACCGCTGCCTGATTCACTTTTTGCCTAACAAGATTCAGGAGATGAGGGAACTCCTTATAAACCTTCTTGGTGAATCTTCATTCCATAGGCCTTTGGTCATCGTCCTGGATGCCTTAGAGCAGCTCTCAGATGCAGATGACGCTCGCAAGCTGTGGTGGCTCCCTGTACAGCTTCCTCGCACTGTCCGCATTGTCGTTTCAACTTTGCCTAATAAGCATGGCATCTTGCAGAAGCTCCGCCACCTCATCCATGATGAGAGGTATTACGTGGAGCTAATTCAGAGGGACCGAAAAGTCTGCAGTCAAATGTTAAAGCAACAGTTGCTTGGGGTGAAAAGAAAAGTAACCTCAGGCCAACAGATTTATGTCAACGAGGCACTTGCCAAGTGTACATTGCCTATGTTCATCAACCTCATCTACAGGGAAGTAGTTCACTGGCGGTCTCACAAGGATGTGGATGATAAATCTCTCTGCTCTACAGTGCATGAAAGCATAGAACATCTATTCTACTCTGTGGAAAACAAGCTGGGCCAGCGATTTGTCTTCAGGGCACTAGGATATATCACCATGGCCAAGGCTGGACTAACAGAAGTTGAGCTAGAAGATATCCTGTCACTTGATAACATAGTTCTTGGGGATGTCATTGTAGCCAGTTACCTCAAAAACCCTTTAAGGATCTCCTATGACTTAGTTGCTAAGCTCAGAGAGGAACTAGAAGGCTATCTGGTGGAACGACAAGTGCGAAATGTCACACTGATGGTCTGGGCCAACAGGCACCTGCACCTTATTGCCCAGAAGCTGTATCTCAGCAATGAGGAGGATGTGCATCAGATGCACAGCCTCTTGGCTGAGTACTTTTTGGGGGCATGGGCAGGAGGCAGGAAGAAGATCTTCACTTACGATAACAATCATTTCACCTCCCTGAACATTTCTCATCACAAAAACCCACATCATCAACAGTCCCATGAAAAAACCTCCTCTGATAAGTACTCATATGACAGACAGACCCCTGAACAGCCTTGGGTGTTCCAGTGCAACCTTTTGGAGCCTGACATTTTCTTTGTCAATCACAGGAAGATGACAGAGCTAGTGTACCACCTTACCAGGAGTGGGCGCACAGATGATCTTATGTTTGGTGTTATTATGAACTTCAGCTGGCTCTACACAATGATCAAGATTGGCCAGTTCGATAAGGCTTTAACAGACATAGACCTAGCGTACAGCTGCAGCCAAGAAAAAGAGCTGAAGTTTTTGGCTACCACTCTTCGTAGCATAAAGGTTAAAGTACTAAAAAGCCCTGCATCACTGTCGGCTGAGCTGCAGCAAAGGCTCTTACCAGTTGTCACTTCTCTACCTAGGCTTAGACACCTCCTCCTGGAGTGTGACAAAGATGGCCCAAAGTACTGCTCTATAGTGCCTCTCCACTCCTCTATGGATGTCACCTACAGTCCAGAAAGGCTTCCTCTTTGCTCCAGCTACATGCAAATTGTAGAGATTTTGCCCACTCTAGCCCCAAACATTGTCCTAGCAGCATTAGAAGATGGATCTATCAGTACTTGGGATGTAGAGAGCAGGCAGCTCTTACGACAGATTGACACAGCCAAGTCTGTTGTACTAGGAATAAGGCTAACCACTGATGAGAAGTATCTGGTTGTTGCCACAACCAAAAATACCCTGCTCATCTATGATAATCACAAGTCTTGCCTTTTATCAGAAGTTGAAATAAAAGGGTCAAAGCACAGTGGTGTCACTGGGGGAGTCGCATTTATCAATGGTTTTACTCTTTCTACCCATCATGCTTTGGCTTGGCTTGAGGCTAGTAAAGACATCAGCATCATTGATCTTGTCTATGGCTGGCCTCTTTACCAGTTTCATTGTTGGTACGAGGTGACTTGTGTCCAATGCTCACCAGATGGGTTGTATGCCTTCTGTGGCCAGTACCTCAACACAACATCCATCTTTCATCTAGGAAATGGGGAGAAGTTGGCCACTGTGACATCTGAGTTTTCTGGGGGGTTTGTAAAGTCCATCCTTGTTTTGGACACCCTAAGCCAAATGGTAATGATCGACAATGAAGGTAGTTTGTCAGTATGGAATACCAAAGAGGTTACCAACCCGAAGCTCATGGAGGACTATGATTGTCGAGGGGATGAGAGTGAAGTATTAGGTATAGAGTTATCTGAAGATCAGCGTTCCATTCTTATTTGCAAGGTCTGGAGTATCGAGGTGCTTGACACAAAACTATGGAAAATGGTAGAGAAATTCAAAGCCAAACGTACTGAACGCTTTGTTGCTGCTGTTCTCTCCAAAAATGGTCAGAGCATTGTGGCCTCCATGGAGAACACATCCTCCATTTTTGTCTGGAGGAGGGACAGTGGACAATGCATGGCTAGCCTGATTGAAATCTCAGGGGCTATTGTTAAACTCATCAAATCAGCCCACCACAACTTGCTCCTTTCTGTTGCCAGCAGTGGAGTTCTGTCTGTTTGGGACATTGATATAATCACCGCCATGTCTAACATTGACAAAACAGGCAAGAAGATCCAGACCTTGCAACTGACTGGTCGAGAGGACTATGTATTTACCATGGATGGCTCAGAAGCTGTACACAAGTGGAACTTTAGCACTGGCTTCATTGAGACAGTCTTCAAACATGAGGGCATAGTGGAGAACTGTGTCCTAACCTCCTCAGGGGATCTCATGGTGACTTCAGACGACAAGTCTAGTCAGTACATCTGGCAAACCAGCACCGGAGAAAACATCTTTCGCATAAATGGACAGAGAATATCACAGTTGCTGATCACCCACAATGACCAGTTTGTGGTGTCTCTCTGTGAGCAAAATGCCTCTAGAGTCTGGAGGCTTGCTACTGGGCACAAAGTGTGTAACATTTTAGTCACACTCCAGAATGCACTTATCACCACAGCTAACACTTTTTTAGTGGGAACATCTAAGAATAAACTTCTTGCTGTCAGCCTGTGGTCAGGCAGCGTGTCTAAAAAATTTGTCTGTGATGATGGCATCACCATTGTCAACTTCAAGCTCATTCCTGACTGCCCTGACTGCGTAGTCTTCATCACGTCCACAGAGACCGTCTTCATCTGGAGTGTAGCGGATGAGTCAGTATGCCGGCGAGTCCAGCTGCCAACCAATTTTCTCAAAAATCTAGAGGACTTTCAGATCTCACCAAACGGGAAATTGGGAATAGTTTCCAAAGGTGACGAGAACATCAATGTTCTGGATCTTCACAGTGGGAAGCTGAGGCTTGTCCATGCAGCGGGCATAATCTGGCGTCAAAAATTATCAAGAGATGGACGTTATCTTGTGTATGTTTGCTTCCGGAACTGTGATGAGGATGACGATGCAGGTGTAGTATCCAATCTGATTGTGATGCGCCTCGCAGATGGCAAGAGCATCGGCACATGTTCGCTTTACAAGACGCCCACCTTCCTGTCTCTCTCTCAGCGAGCACTAAACATCATAATAGGCTTTGAGGATGGCAGCATTGGCACATACACAGTTGTGGATCGTGTGGATGCCACCCTTAAGATCAAGATAGCCACCTCCAACAGCCGACAGATTGTTAACAATGCCTCACAGAAAGTGCGCCCCAAATGTGGCAACCATTCCTTTAAGACTGTGGCCGACTGCACCTGGAGGGAGTCAACAGAAGTCTTCTCAAGAGACAGCCCCATCAATGTGTCAGACTCCGGAGAGGGAGAGTCGACGACACCTACAAAGAAGACTGAATTGGTACAATGAAAGTTGGAGGGCAGGTGGAGGTAAGAGAAGAGAACGGGGACAGGGGGACAAAGTTTAGAATCTTTAAGGAATCGCAGTTGATTCTTGTTTACAGCCTCGTGATTCAGCTGCAGATGTCAGCCCAGCAGGTAGTTAATGGGCTGACGATTAAACGCTGCACTCAAACGATATATTACTTACTTCCGACTTCTTAGATTTACAGACTGTGCGAAAAAACACATTTGTTTTACAAATAAAATCTGTAACATTTTACTTTGCCATTTTGTGTCTTTTTGCATTTGAAGAACAAAATTACTATCAAACTGTCTTAGTCAAACGTTTTTTTAAGCCAGTCCGATGGCCTTAGCCACATTCATGATCTTATTTACATTGTTCTTGTTAAGCTATAATGTTGCGTAAGAGTATATTTATGTTTGTATCAACATCAGGTGGTACTGTAAGAAAAAGAAGAACTATGAACAAAAGTATATACGGTACATTTCTCATTTTGGCTGCTGCAATTTGTGCAACTCCTTAAAGACGTTTTGTTGTGCTTAATGCAATCAAAGTGAGTGCCTGGAATTTAAAATAGTCTTCATGTGCAGATTACAAAATTTATGAAAATGCAGGGACTTTGTAAACACAGTGTACACCGTTGCTTGTTACTGAGATCTAGTCAACATCTGAAGAGATCCATGGCGTTGTTCTAAATAACGGTTACTGTTTTTTTTTCCCTTTTCTCTGAACAGTTTACATAGATTTGATGTGAATTTATCTGTGGTTCCATCAGTTTGTGTGCAGGTCGTTTTAAGGGGAACACCACTATTGAGCATACAGTGTAGCATAGCACCATACACATTAACGCCTTAACCTGTGTACTTGCTTTAGGTTTTGTGGAGTTTTTAGGTGTTCTGGTATAAAAAGGACAGAGTGGGTTTTGCTCAAACAATCTGGCCATGCGAACATATTTCCAAGTTTATTCAATAAATAGAAGCACTTTATGGAAGGTTTGTGAGAAATTGTTGGAATGTTTTTAGATGGAATATAAATTGTTAAAAGTTATTTTGATTTACTTTAAAAAAAAAAAAGAGAGAGAGATTTGGTATGCCAGTGGAACTTTGGCCTTCTTGGCAGGCTTTTATAAAAGACTACAATCTCCCATCATAAATTTGGTTTGAATAATAAAACCAATAAGTAGTCATCTAAATAGCAAACTCAGTAAGGAGCCATTTGGAAATCTATGGGATGGAAGAAGGGTCTGGGTGAAACCCTTTCAAAGCCCCTTCTTTGCGAAACTGAAATGCAAATATGAAGGTAAAAACTGTAGCTGTAGCAAAACTAGGGGAGGGAGGGTAACATCTTGGCACAGAGTCAAAACAGATATTGAATCTAATCTATTTTCTGTATTTATTTTGACTTTTCAGTTGACTGTAACATTTCTTCACAGCTTTACAAAGTTAGCGCAGGCTTTGAAATGTTTATTGTTAGTGCCTGTGTCCGATATTTCATACTAACATGCTATGTAGTTCTCTGCTGAAACAGTATATGATTTTTTTTTTAACTGTGTTCAAAGCCTTAATACAAAGCCATTAAAACTCACAATGCACACTGTATGAAAGCACTGGACACCACACTTGCGTAAATTACCGGGAACACAGGTAAAGCATGCTGATAACTCAATTTTTCAGTTTAGGTTAAAGTATAAAATTAGTTAGCGTGGAGTAAAAATATGTTTTTTTGCCAAATCGGTGTTATTTGACACATAGACGCTACTGTTTACGCCCTTGAAAGTGTCTAGTTTAGTTTTTCACAGTTTGGCTTCAATTAGTTTAGCATAGCTAAGTGTAGATTAGCTAAGATTAGTTAATCTTAGCTTGTTCCTATTTAGTTTAGTTTATCATAGCTTAGTTTGTTTTCTTTTTGCACAGCTTTGTTTAGTTTAGCTTAGCTTAGCATAAGTTAGCCTAGCTTTTTTTTTTTTATAGCTAAATTGTTCTCAAACTTTTTTGTGAGACTGCCTTTGGAGGGAAAAAATGGCACGCCCTGCCCCGCCCAAAAAATATCAAAAATAATTAAAATACATGAAATACACAAGTAGTCACAACATGAATGTTTCATTCAGCCTTTATTTATACAGGTTAGTGTCATTGAGTCACGAGGACATTTACAAGAGAGACCTGTTTTAAACTTAAATCTCTAAAATGTTATCCCTTTGGGTGAAATAATTTAAGGCAGAGGTCAGTCAGTCTATCAAATAAAAATGGCCATTTTAAGGTATTTTCACTACCTGTGATGTGAGTTTTGAAATATCTTGCTAAATTGAAAATAAACTTATACAGGCAAAAACACTTTACGGAGGTTGTAATATTTTAAAACAACGATTTCTGGAATTTCATGTGGCTAAAAGTACATTAACATTTAATAACTGCACGATTAGTCATTATACAGGCAAACTAGACGAACAACTTCAACAGAATCAGTGCAAAAAATGTAAATTATATTACATATATTATCATTAAATTAATTACATTGATCACAGGACAGTTATGTCATGGTATATTTCCATACAAAGTACAAACGTGAAATTGACACTTTCACATTATGAGTTTTGAAGAAAAGTATAAAAGTGAAAAGGAGAGACACTTTTGCTATAATCTTGGGCATATAAATATATATTTTTAAGATTTTTAAAATATTGTTGGATTCCAAGAACTAAAGCGGCAGAAACAGCGTGTCTCAAACAGGCTGCGCGCGCTCTGCAAACACTTGTTGTGCAGGGCGTGATTTTAGCAATAACACGCCTCTATTTTCCAAAGTTAACCTTTGTTAAAAAGAAAAATAAGTATAGTAAATAATACATTTGTTGTTTTGTACGTTCCTAAAATAGGTTTGGGCTGCAACGAGGTGTTGCAACATTAGTTCCACCTACTGCATGTTCTCAACTAGGGTAAAAAGAGTTTTGAAAAATAAAAACATTAAATGACATTGCACCCCCTCCCCCATGCACATACCACAGTTTGAGAACTTATGGTTTAGCTTATTTTGCCTCAGTTTGGTTCAATGTAATAAGTTTAGCTTAGTATAAATTAGCATTTTTTAGTTGATCTGAGCTTATCCCTGTTTGGCATAGCTTAGCTTTAGCTTAAATATGGTTGGTTAGGCTTAGCTTAGCTTAACCTGATCTTCTGTGGTTTGCTTTAGGTATTTTTGAGTCATTTTCAAAAGTTAAGATAAAATGTACAGTGGAGCATATATATATATGTGCGTATATATGTACATAAAGTTTAAAGTGAAAGCACACATAGTAAGCATTTAGTGCATAGTATGGACTTTCGGACACAAGTGTCAATGCTGGTAACATCACACGGGCTGGAATAAGATTTACTGACAAACAGATAAAATGTATTATATCATTTTTGAGGGTATACCTTGCAGAAGATGTTGAAGCGTTCTACAAATCCAGAACAAAAGTTATGTTCAGCTGTTTTGAGCTTTGATGAATTGAATCTTTTGACAGACGTGACTGCGAGAAACATGAACAAAAACGCACACTTTCACTCTGACATCTACCTTTTAAGGGCTATTCCATCTTCTTATAAGTTTAGTACTTTTAATCAGTTGAGACAGCCCTTGGGAAATTTCAAAACTGGTAGCAAAACCGAGCTTTAAACTGTCCCCACCAACTCGAGAGTTTCTAAATTAAAAGATAAAATAAGATATCCTATTATGTAATTGCCAAAGTTCCAAATTTGTTTACTGTCTCATTGTTTTTTTTTTTTAAGGCTTGTACTGTAATTATATTGTTACCAAATTGTTGAAGTGTTCGACTGTGATTATGTTTCTGATAGACTAAAATGTGCTATCTTTGCTATTGAATAAAGTTTAAAAAGAGTCCTCCTATAAAATATATTGGAATGCCAGTTTAAGAGTATATTTGAATGTGTCCATATGGAAACCAGTAAACGGTATTATTCTATGTTATGTAACTTGAATGACTTCAAACAACTTACATGTTTGCAACTTCTGGTTGACATACTGGTAATGAATGTTTCTATGGTATTCTTTTTATTGTCAGGACTGATTTACCTGTTTAGAGATTTATATTTTCATAAATGTTGTACTTACATTTTGTTACAGAGTTGTCTAACTGGAAAATTTAACGAAAAGAAAGTTATGTCTGAAGCAATATGAACCTAGTGTGTATGCATTGTTTGTATAGAACATTTTAATGTAATAAAATGGTTCAATTTTTGCCTCCACGTCACTCTGTCTGGCTTTCATTCAAGTCACAAAGATGGGTAAGATTATTGGAAGTCAGGTTCTGTTGAAAGGTAATCAATATCTTACCTGTTTTAGATAGATTTTTGAATGGTCTCTGTTGGGAAAAATACAATTTTAATTGTGACTTGACCAAAGAACAATAGGCTAGTTGAACTAGAGTCAACGCCAAAGCAGATTGTTGTCTTATTAAAACAAGTAGAGCGTTAATAATGATGTTGCATTTCGCTCAGAAACCTTTACAGTAGTCCCTCGTTTATTGCGGGGATTACGTTCCAGACCCCCACCCCTGCATTAAGTGATGAATTAATGGGATTAACCTGTATAAATAAACAGGATTAACCTGTTTAAATAAACAGGATTAACCTGTATAAATAAAGGTTGAATGAATGAAAACTAAGTGAAAATCCGCAAAGTAGCAACGTTATATTTATTTTAGTATTTATTTATATTTTAAGGCTTTAGAAACCCTTCCTACACTCTTTCAATGTTATAAACTCTTAAACCTACATCATTTTAACAACATATGTATGGTACTGTATATGTAGCTACTAGGGGCTGAGTCGATTGGTGGACTAGTCAATTCTAAGACGTCTCGCTAGTTTTGGAATTTCACGTCGACTAGTCACAGTCACGTGATTGTGTCGTCGGGCGCTGGCTAGAGCTGTCATTTCTAACTCGGGCCCACGCCCCACAAATACATGTGGTCAAAATAATAGGTGGGCTTTAGTTTTATTTTTAAAAAAACTGGTCATGACTCACATCAAAACAACCA